TGGTCTAGAGCGCTGAGCGGAAGTAGAAGAACAAAAACGGAAGATGGAAAGGCGCCCGCACTCCTCCCCGCCTGCCCTCCCCCACTCCGCCCAGTGGAGGAGAGGGGGACGGCCCGGGCGCCTTTCCATCTTCCGTTTTTGTTCTTCTACTTCCGCTCAGCGCTCTAGACCAATACCCTATTCGTTCTCGAGTTATCGTGCGTACAGACAAACAAACAAACACACACACACACAGAGACAGACAAACAGACGCGAAACTGTTTGATCATCACTGGAGTAATAGGCTTCGCTATCGCTCAGCCAAAAATTTGTTTTCTGTGCTGTCAAACCTATATGTGTTGGTCAGGGAAATTTATTTAGAGAACCTGCTACTGAGGCGTGGCTATGCAGTTAAATGCAGTTTGCTGGACTGGTTTTAGTGATTCAAGAAACAGATACTGCTTACGTTCTATATGCTTACTTCTATTTAGCACCACAGGCAAATAAATTGCATATACAGAAGTCTTCAATAGCACTGCAACTAATTGAGTTCTCGAAACTGTTACTTTGATTTTCAAATACATAATTGTGGTTTATCAAGTTGGATAATTACTACTTTTGCTGTCCAAAAGAGTCCCAATAAAAATACAGTCTTCACTAGGAAAATATATTTAATTTGCAGTAAGCCATATAGAATTGGGATAAATAGGCAACAGTCATATAGGAATTACATAAATAGTCAACAGTCACATACAATTAACAAAATCAAACAGTCATAGAATTTACATAAATAGGCAGGGAATTCTCCTACATGTACTAGGTAGATGTACTATCAGTCTGAAAAGTTTCCGGGGTCGACTGCCAATAACGTTGTGTCGAACTAGCCTCGGACGGGCCCCCTTTCTGCGCGCCTCGCTAGCGGCCGACGGCCAAGATGGCGACCCCGTCCGCCTCGGGTTTTCGGCATTTAATTTTATTAACAATCCTATGCGTTTTGATGGGCAGCGGCTGAAAATAGGTCAAACAAAATCGTTGCAAGTCTGTAAAAACGATTTGCAACATCAGATGCATTCCCGAAATTGAGATGGAAACGGATAAAAGCGAAAAGGGGGTTAGTCGTCTAGCTGCCAGCTGTGGGCGCCATCATCTGAGTTTCTCATACACCGCCAGATTCAAACGACCGAATCGAACCGACATTAAAGCAACTTCCGTTTTCAGTGTATTTTCGTGGCAAAACTCGCTTCAAACGGCAGAAGCTACTAAATCCTGCTTTGCAGATGGCCGCGGCTCTATTTTTACGTTTTGCTCCGTGAAATTAAATGGGCTTTGGCCACTGAACGTATCCCTACGTGTGTTTAAATATTCGATAGTCCAATATCCCGACAGTGAAAACTGCATACAGTCAGTGAAGAAGGCATGCCGTGCAAGACGAGGGGCCCCTTTCGCTTTTTGAGTATACTACGCTAAAATTGTATTTGATTCGCTGATTGATTTGAGTCGCTAAAAACATGCAACAAAGTGACCAAGGTCTCAGGTAATTTTTAGGTGCAGACACATGTAATCATCAATTTTGTTTGTTCTAGTCCAATACTGTTGCCGCTTTACATGGCAAAGCTGTTTAGCGTAAGCTGCCTTTGCCTTTTTGCCTTGACACATTTAACGGTATAAATAGTGGTGTGTAGAAAGAAATCAAAAGAGAACACAGACGCAAACTCAATGTAATTTTTTATTATTTTTTCACAAACGTAAAAAAAAACATATTTGTTCAAAAAATCTTGTAAAAAAAAATTGGCACAACCTGAAGACAAAAACACAGTAATGAAAAGAAAAAAGGCATAAAAGAATCACTCACACACAACAATTGGCTGCTGATTGCAAATAGGATTCATACAGTGAAGCAGCAAAAGTAGAGTATTATTGCAAAATGTCATAAAATCCCACTTGCGCATATTTTTCAAAGCTCCCTATAAAAGGGACTTGCTTTTAGAGTCAATAATAATGTTTTGCTGTCGTTTGCAACTAGGATTATGACTGTAAAGCAGCCTAAGTAAAGTTATATTACAAACTGTAATAAGATCCTACTTTCGGATATTTTAAAAAGCTCCCTCACAAAAGGAACAAGCTTTTAGAGTCAAGGAGGAGGATGTTTGGCAGCCGTTCGCTACAGGATTGATACTGTGAAGAGGCGTAAGTGAAGTAATAATTCGAACTGTGGTATTATCCCACTTGCACTTAATCACAATAGCTTCCACATAAATGGAAGTTGCTTTTAGATTTACGAGCAGCGGTTGGCCGCCGTTTGCAACAAAGATTAATTCTTTGAAGCAGAGAAAGTATAGTATTATAGCATAGTGTAGTAAACTCCTACTTGCACTTAGTTAACCAAGCTTCCTAATGCAAGGAACTTGCTTTTAGAGTCACAAAAGATGGTTTGCTACCGTTTGCAAGCAGGATTGATACAGTGAAGCATCCTTAGTGAAGTATTATTGCTAAATGTAAGCAAATCTTACTTGCACTTAATTAAAAATGTCTTCTAACGCAGTGAACTTTCTACTTAATTTACAATCATTGGCAGCTTGGAAACTGGTTTCATACGTCGAAGTAGCAGCAGGTGTTAGGCTGCGAACTGAAGTGAAAACCTAGTTGCACTCGATCGAAACAATATCAAAATAAAGAGAACTGGTTCTTAGATTCATGCGTAATGTTTTAACCATTAGTGCAAACAGGTTTCACAAAGTTAAGCGACAAAGTGTAATTAAACTGCACACTGGCATTGAAACCCGCTTCCGCTTGTTTGGGAAAATGTGTCAATTAAGAAAATCGTTACTAGAGTTATGGGCAATGACTGACCCTCACTTGCAACCTGTTTTCATACAATGAAGTAGCAACAGTTGGAGTTTAGCTGCGAACTGAAATAAAAACCTACTTGCACTCGATCCAAACGATTCTAAAATAAAAAGAAGAATAAAATCCCACTTGCGCGTCGCCAACAAACCTTTTTAATAGACGAAAATTGCTAATAGAGTCACTAGTGATAATTTGCTTGCGTTTGCAACCAGGATTCCCTAGTAACACAAGACTGTCGCACATAGTGTGATTTTTATCTGTCGTCCAATTGTGACGATAACGAAAATCCAAAAGTGATGGCTTTTCCATAGTCAGACGATTGTCGCTGGTCTATCAAATTTAAACAGTGACGCAGCCCAAGGAGGGTTTTATTGCAACGTGCAATAAAATCCCACTTGCGGGTCGTCAACAACCCTTTCCATTAAACGAAAATTGCTAATAGAGTCACTAGTAATAATTTGCTTGCGTTTGCAACCAGGATTATTACAGTAAAGCAGCGAAATATGCATAATGTTGTAAAATGTTATGAAGCCCTGATTGCAATTAGTGAAAAAGGGATCCTCATATATGCATCTTGCTTTCAGGGTCTCGAATAATGGTTTGCTACCATATGCAAGCAGGATTAATACAGTGACGCAGCGCGAGAAGGGTTTTATTGCAACGTGCAATAAAATCCCCAACCATCAGGCTTTCGGGGTCTTAAATAATGGTTTGCTACCGTATGCAAGCAGGATTGATACAGTGTCGCAGCCCAAGAAGGGTTTAGTGCAACTTGCAATACAATCCCACTTGCGCGTCTTCAACAAACCTTTCCAATAGACGCATATTGCTAATAGAGTCTCAAGTAATAATTTGCTTGCGTTTGCAACCAGGATTATTACAGTGAAGCAGCAAAATACGAGTAATGTTGCAAAATGTTATAAAATCCGAAATTGCAATTAGTGAAAAAAGTATCCTTATACAAGCATCTTGCTTTTAGGGTCTCAAATTATGGTTTGCTACCGTATGCAAGCAGGATTGATACAGTGTCGCAGCCCAAGAAGGGTTTAGTGCAACTTGCAATACAATCCCACTTGCGCGTCGTCAACAAACCTTTCTTATAGACGCAAATGACTAATAGAGTCACTAGTGATAATTTGCTTGCGTTTGCAGCCAGGATTATTACAGTTAAGCAGCGAAAAATGAGTAATGTTGCAAAATGTTTTAAAACCCTGATTGCAATTAGTGAAAAAAGTATCCTTATATATGCATCTTGCTTTTAGGGTCTCGAATAATGGTTTGCTACCGTATGCAAGCACGATTGATATAGTGAAGCAGCCCAAGAAGGGTTTTATTGCAACGTGCAATAAAATCCCACTTGCCCGTCGTCAACAAACCTTTCCAATAGACGCATATTGCTAATAGAGTCTCAAGTAACTAGGTAGATGTACGCCAGACCACGTCTCGCGTAACAGGCTTCGCGATATCACACGAAACACTGTTACGCTGCGACGCGCCTGGCATACATCTACCTAGG